CCCGACGCGTGCGGGATCAAAGCGGCCGGGAAGGGGCGGGGACGGGAGGTGGCAGGAACCTGGAGGTGTGAGCGAGCTTCCCAGGGGACGGCAGGAGCGTGGGAGCGCAGAGTCCCGGGAGGCGACAGAGACCCGGAGAGACGCCGAGAGATCCCAGAGAGCCGAAGAGACCCAGAGACGGAGAGGCAGAGAGACCGGAGCCAGGGCGAGAGGTCCCAGAGAGCCCGCTGCGGAGACTCAGACGTCGAGGGACTGGAGAGACTCGGAGTCCGAGACGACCCCAGACCCAGGAGACCCAGAGCAGGAGTCGCCAAGGGACCTGGAAAGAACGTGAGAAATACGGAGACAGAGACGCCGAGAGGAACTCCCAGACCGGGAAAAGGCCCGGGCCCGTGGGGTTAGGAAAAGGAAACGTGTTTCAGAAAGAACAGAAAACAAGCGGGAGGAAGAGGAACGGCAAGACCAAGGGATTTAGAGTGTGAGGGGCGGGCGGACCAGGCCCCTCCCCCGCGGAGGGCCGAGAGGACCCCCGCGGCAGGGATCCGGGCACCGTGTCCTTTCTCAGGGTCACGCCTGTGGAGGTGCGGGTTGGGGGCGGAGGGAGGGGCGTGGAGGCCGCAGGACCCCCAGGCTGGGAGGAGGGGAGTGAGAGGACGTACGGACACATCCGAGACAAGGCGGAGGTCCAGACCCTGGCCCAGATGAAGCAGAGAGGCCGAATCAGAGTCTGGGACTGGGGCTTAAAAGTCTGAGGTGCTCAAAAATGCTGAACCTAATATTTGGTAGAAATGTGTAGAAACGTGGAATCGAGGGTGCTTAGAAATGTCATCAAATTTATTATCCTTTCGAGGGAAAAGGAAAAAAAAACAGAACGTGCATTGGCCGGGAATCGAACCCGGGCCTCCCGCGTGGCAGGCGAGAATTCTACCACTGAACCACCAATGCAGACTCTAGCACGCCTTCACTGGTTTTAACTTAGCTTTTAAAGCGGATTGAGGCAGGCGTAGTCAGGCTACTATGCAGGCCGGGGGTTCAGTGAAGGAGTGGCCCTGAATGGTTGACGTGGGTGGAGCGCCAGGCCATCATTCCTCCCTCTCGGATCCGGCCACCGGGCCATAAAGCCACCCCATATGGCCAGGGGCGGCCCCACACCCGGGTGCGAACAGCCCAGGGCCCCTAGCCTCGCGTGCAGGTGAGAAAAACTCAGCCCGAGCCCAGGTTCCCAAGGAGGGGGGCAGTGGAGGCTGCTGGGACCACACATTTGCGCTCCCATTTGGCCGAAGTAGTGGGAGGTGGAATGTGCTGGGGGCTCTGATCCCAAATGGGAGCCCCTTCCTCAAGGTCTGTGCCCTTCTGGGCTCGAGCTTTGGCAAGAAAGGCTCCATGAAAAAAGCCAAGGTGTGGAGGGCCGATGGGAGGCCTTGGAGGAAGCCCCACTCGCCTTTGACTCCACAGCTGTCTTCCTTCTCCGTCTGTAACCCTGTCTTTCCGTGTCCTTGTCCCTGGCTATCTTGCTGTCCCATTTGATTTCTAATTCATCTTCTCGGCACTTTGTTCTGAAACCGCAGGGCGTTCAGGCATCATTCTGCAGAGAGTCGAGTTCTTGATTTCAGGTGGGTGTTGAACCTTGTGTGTATTCTTTTCTTTCCCTTTAGGAAAACTGCCTGCTCCCTGCTCCCCTACAGTCACGAGGGGCGAGCAGCGCAGGCACTCGTTCGAGGTGTCCCGTCAGCCGTATTCCTGGATCTCCCACGATTCATTGTGAATCAAATATCTGTACTGTAAGTGGAAAGCTCTCTCCATTCCTGCCTATGCTTCAAAGACTTGCTCCCTCTCCCTCGAAGTTCGGTCATCCTCAAGGAGGCCCTTTTCCCGGAGCACCTACTCCACTCTGCTTCTACCCGACGTCACATCGTCTCTTTCCCTAGATCCTGCAGGGATAAGCTGGGCCTCTCGTGCGAATCTCAGTATGAATCCCTGTGCCCACAATGAGCGCGCAGATGTTCGGGGACTAGAATGTAACGGACTTAGAACAGAACAGAGCGCCTCTTGCACCTCCTGGCAGAGCCAGCCCCACTTGAGCCAGGTGGATTCACCCAGCACACTCGGATAGTTCCCTGTCCCGAGTAAGGAGGCGAATTTCGGGGAAGATGTTCAAAATTAAGCCTGGGGGGTCAAGGGGTGCTAACTTTTTAATTTCAGGGTTAGTGAGAGTGCAGTGAACCCCGAGAAAGCTGCAATTCCGGGGAAACTCTTAATTTCATCTCTCAGTGAGTTCTGTCCCAAATCACCTAACTACTCCCCCTTCCCCTAATAGCCTTCGCCTTCTGCTGGGATCCGCCTCCTTACACAGCCTTATGGTCCATAAACCAGGCGGTGCCCGCTCGCCCCTCACTTCCCACACTCCCAGGCCACTTTCTCTCCTTCCCCTCCCCCTTTCACTCCTCCCCTTTCCGGGAGTCTCGTGCCCGGGTCCTCCAGGGGCGGAATCCGGGTGCCCAAGGGGGGCGGGGCCGGGTCCCAGCCCTCCTACCCCGGCGCCGCGGGATATAAGGCTCCAGGCGCGCAGGGGACCCGGTCCATACCAGGGTCCGGAGCAGCGATGGTCACGCGGGATCGAGCGGAGAATAGGGACGGCCCCAAGGTGAGAGGCGGGGGGGCGGAAGGAGCAGAGGTCCCTGGTTAAGCCAGGAGACTGGGGCCCTAACACCTGTGTGTCAGGGGAGTGGCCGGCGACGCTGTGGAGGGGGAGAGGTGCCCGGGAGACTCGAGGAGCCAGGAGCCAGAGAGGAAGCCGCACAGTATGAAGAAGGGGACCGGGCCAGAAAAAGAACGGCGTGGGCGGCGAAGGCAGAGGTCTAGGGGCCTGGGTAGTGGGGGTCGACACCTTGCGGCCTGGAGGGCGTGGGAGGGGGCCGGGGTTTGAGTGAAATAAGCCAGAAGAGGACGGAGCCAAGGGAGGAGGGTGGGAACAGAACCAGGAGAAAACAGGCACTCGCTCCAGCAGGCGGTGAGCCGCAGCTGACCCGACGCGGTCTTGCAGAGAAGGCCTGAGACCTGGAAGATTTAGAAGGGTGACGGCCTAGACGGGCTTGAGGGCGGAGAGGAGGCGCGGTCGCGCTGGGTATCTGCCTTTCTACACTCAGGGCCGCCACCTCTGAGCCCCGCGCCGTGCGGCCCACGTGACTGCGCGCAGAGGGTCCCCAAAGTTCTCCACTGAGACAGAGAGAGACTGCACGAGACGGAGACGTAGAAAGAAAAGAGGAGAGACACAGAGAGGGGAGGAGGGAGGACGAGACTGAGAGAGAATGCAGAAGAGCCGGGAGAGAGGAGGCGAGCTACAGAAGCTGACCTAGGGGCGTGGGGAGGAGGAGCGGAGAGGGGTCGAGTGGGCCTGGGCCTAGGCAATCTGGGGTCGTGGGGAAGGGGTGGAAGCCCGGCTCTCCCAGCGGCGGGATCCGACGCCGGCGCGGCGGCGCTGAGTCTCGGTCCCGTCGGTCCGCTCTCCCTTTCCCGCTGGTCGCAGATGCTGAAGCCGCTGGTGGAGAAGCGGCGCCGGGACCGCATCAACCGCAGCCTGGAAGAGCTGAGGCTGCTGCTGCTGGAGCGGACCCGGGACCAGGTCAGTCCCTCCGCCAGGACGCCCAAGCGCCCCATCCCCGCGTCCCAGGGTTTCCCGCTGGGGTGGGGACCTAGCCGGACTGGCGACCCTGGCCCCAAGGCATCTTGACCCGAGTCCCGCCTTTGGAATCCCATCCCAGACCCCTCTCGCTCTCAGAACGCGATCTTCTTCGCCACCCCTCGGGTCTGTAAGTTTCCCGCCCGGCTCTGTAAATTTCATTCCCAGGGTCGGTCAGTTTCACCCTTCGGGTCTCCAAATGTCCCCTTTCCCTCTCCCACACCCCCCACATCAGCCAGCTGGTTTTGCCGGGTGGCTCACTTCGCTCCCTGGGTTGCCGTTTCAAAGCCCCTCCTCGCACGTTGGGTGTTGGTTCCATCTCCTCGGGTCGGACCCGGTCTCGTCTCGGGGGGGCCGGGGCCGTCCTCGGTCAACTCCACTCCGCGTGCGGCCGCGCGTTCTGTGGGCAGTGCGCCATGCGATCGGGGGCACCCCCAGCTCCTGCACCCGCCCCTCCCTTCTTCCCCCTGCCACTTTCCCCCTCTCTCCCCACCCCTTTCTGTCTCTGCGCCCTCCCTTCCCGTCTGCAGAACCTCCGGAACCCGAAGCTGGAGAAAGCGGAGATCCTGGAGTTCGCCGTGGGCTACTTGAGGGAGCGCAGCCGGGTGGAGCCCCCGGGTACAGCGCGGGGGTGGGGCAGCGGAGGGAGGGAGGGGGGATCCGGAGGCTCGGGCCGGGCACGATCGGGCGGGCCCTGCGGTGGACGGTGGGCTTGGGGAGCGGCAGGCTCTGCTCCGAGGCGAGGTTAATAACACCCGCGCGTGTCTGTCTCTGTCTCCCGCATTT